CGCTGCACTTTTTTAGCTCCTACTGTTTTTAATGGAAGTTCTGTTTGTTTAGTAGCAAGGTATGTAGTATTGAGCACAAAATTCCAGTGCAAGAGATATGGGTTGGGTTTTTTTATTTCCAGGTTATTTATTGGTTAGCAGCGGTGAGGCCGATGGTGCGGTAGGCTTGGCTAATCCTCCCCGATACCTGCGGATGAAGCGCTACAGCGGGTCCACGCACAGCCAGCCTGTGCTGAATTACCGCAGGAGGGGACGCGTTGTCAGAGCACTGGGGTAGCTCGGGGGCACCGGGATGTTTGGTGCCTTCCCAGTTAAGATTCTGTCGTCTGTTTCAAACCAGAAATGACTGGTTGAGGACCCAAAGAAACCGGTAACTTAGAAATACAATTGGATGTCAGCGTTGTGTGCTGCCTGACTTGCTGTCCTCTCTGGACGAACTGTAGTTCAAGCAGGGCTTTCCCAATTCATGCTGAAGTATGGTTTCATAGTAGGGCAGTTCCATGTTTCCTAGCTGGCTCCGTGTTCTCTTGCGCTACTGCATCTGAGCAGATTCTCTGGCTGTAATCAAGTTATCAAATAGGATTAATTAAATATTTAATGTGTTGAGTCATCTGTATGCTTTTTAGTCATAAATAAAGCAAGTCCTTTTACTAGAGAGAAAAAAAAAAATCGGTAGGTGCGTCACTTGGTACCTGCACTGAGCCTTGGTCTGGATTTGCCATTCATGGAACTGTTGAGCTGTGTGACATCCATATTTTTGTAATAAATGACTGGTTTTCTTCATCTTGCATGTTACATACATAAACTGGTCTAAATCATCAACCAATAAATTATGGCAACACGAGCTGGCGTGCAAGACAGTAGTTCTTGACCCGCGATGTCGGTTCCTTTCCTTTCGCTTAGTCCTTACAGCTTAGTCGCTTAACGTAGCCTGTCCTGGCATAGGCAACATCTGGGTGGGCAAAAGCCCAGGAAAAGTGAATTTTCAAGTGCAGTAAACACATATTCCAAAAAAAAAAATGGAACTAGCTTTTTTCTTTTTAGACTAAATCCCCATTAGTTAACTTAAAGGCATGAGTTTTTTTATAATTTGGACAGACCACCTCGGCTACCCAGCTGAAACGTCCTGGAGAGAAGAAATGAGAAATGCGGTGCTGAAGAACTGGTTGCCAAGGCACCAGCTCCAGGGGGAGCGGCCGCGACTTCTGCTGCTTGTAGCTGCAGCTGCCCCAAGCCGGGCCGGGTTTGTAAGCGGAACTAACACCTGCCTCGCCGACTGGTACCGCTGGAAGAAGTGAGGTCATTTCCAGAGCCATCAAGCACCTGGACTGAATGTCGGGGTTTGCTGGGGGCCGCTGCGGCGTCGCTGTCTGACCTGAGGGGTGCCCCCCTGAAGCAGGGGAGGCGAGTAGAGGCTGCACGAGGATGAATGAAAGGCGCTCTAAGAAATGCGCATTGCTGGGATAGTTTTCTTATTCACCTCTCTTTGAAGTCACCCTTTCCACCTATTTTCCAGTCCTTTTGTAGCCACAATAGAAGAAAATCTTGTACAGTAACATGCCTCGGCTCCCTGTCACATTTCCCCTACTCCGTTTTTGATGGGTTGTTCTTTGTCTGAGCATAGAACTCAAAAGATTCTTTTAAATCCCGGCAAATATAGTCAGTCATAAATTTCCTGTGGTTTGGGGGATTGTTGTGTATGTGTTAAGTACGTAAACTAGAGGGAGAGGAGAAAAATTAACGAGCTTGACTGCAAGGAAATGCTAGCAATTTCTTACTTCTGAACTTACATACTTGACAGCTTACTAAGGGTGAGCTGCAGGAAAAATCACCCCAGTCCAACAGGTGAACATGCCACCAAGTAGTAATCCCCCCCCCCCGTTTATGAGCACATAAAGGCTTTTTATAAAAAAATTTCCTTTGAGTGCCTGAAGTGATGGGAAGGGAGGAAAAAGGTTGGGAACAGATACTAGAAAAAGCTCGCTTGTTGGCAATCAGTTTTCCGTCCTTAAAACTGGCAGGGCTGAGCTGCTTTGTAAAGGTTAAACGCCTCCGTATCAGGGGAGCTGCGAGAGGAAGGCCTGAGGACTTAAGAGGTGCTCGTGGAAGAGGCAGATCAGATAAGGAGCTTAAAAGGTGACTGGGATGAAAGATGCTGTCGAGTGGAAGGGAGGCTGCTGTGCAGTTCCATCGTCGCCGGCGGAGCAGAGGTGGGGCTGGGCAAACCACCTGCATGGGAAAGATCCCTGAATGGAGCAGAAGCCGGTGCAAATCCACCGGTGGAGGAATAAGGAGAAATTCCTTGGGCAGCCGCTGAAACCTAGTAGACAGGAATGTGGTAACGGTGAAACGCTGCTCCAAAACAAACCGTCGGTAGGTTAAATAGGATTGGTGTAGTTCCTGATTTATCATCGAGGCTCAATTCAGGTTTTTGATCATTAAGAAAAAAAATTACTTTTAGAAATTGAAAAATGACAAATGTATCTTGGTTTTATGATGGCCCATCAGCTGTGGTTTTGTATGGTGTCTTATTTCTTTTTTTTTTTTATTGTGTTCTTACAAAATTTGCTGAGTTCGATTACGTCTCCAGCGATTTAAAACTGGTGATGGTTCTGGCTGTTTCTGGCAGCTATCCGGAAAGCTGCTTTCTAGGCTCTCTGTCAGTAAAGCTTTCTGATCATAAGTTCTTATTCAGGGCTGATTTAATCACGTTTGCTTCTTCCATGTGCTTTGGGCTAGCAGCGTTCCCAGGTCCTTCCCATCCGAGTTCGATGTTTAAGTCCTCCTTAATGATCCAAGCACTTTGTATACGTGGGCAATACTGGTCAGATGCTGGGAGAAGCCAGGCAGCTTGTTGGTCTCAGCGGCTGTTAGGACTCAGGGGACCAGAGGGAGCAGCAGCTTCCTCCGGGCTCCGTCATGAATTCCTGCGCGGCTTGCATCCCTTGCAAATCGCGGTCGTTAATAACAGCTCCCAGAAAGGCACTGCAGCTGCCCGGGACACAAGAATACTTGGGTCTGTTTTTATTAGAACGAGTAAACAAATCTGCAAAAGAGGAGAAAACGTGCAATCAGAATTTGGATTTTTCCTCATCCTCGCTTTCGTTTTCCCTCAAGGTATCTCCACGCAGTCGGATTGGTAACTGGTAAACGGGACTGCCAGCACTGGCTCCAAGGCCCTTTCAGCCTTGTAACAGGCAGCTTTGGGATCGCTATCGTGTAGCCTTGTTTAGATCACGTCTCCTTACATGCATTATTTTATATTTATCTAAGTTGAAACTCATCTGGCCACCCTTTGCAAGGACCTTGTGACATTCCTTGCCGGTGGTGTGGCATTAACTATCCCAGAGAGCCCCGCATCCTTCACAGACGTGGTGTTTCTCCTCTTTGCTCGCTTTCCCACCGGGCGGCCGGGACCAAAACAGCCGCCAGTCGCTGGAGGGGCGAGAAGCGTGGTGCTGCCAGGCCCTGGGCGGCGAGAGCTGGGTCTGCCTTGGGACGGCAGATCTCCGGAGAACCTGCTGACCGGGAAAGGAGCCGATCCTGAGGCGAGGGTTTTGGTTTCCCCGCTACTCTGCCCAGGCAGCCGAGCCGCCAAACCCCCCGTTGTTGTGCGATGAGGTGCCAGCCGCCTCTCCCCCAGCTCCAAGAGGAGTAGAAATTTATGGACAGCTCAGGATTTTATCAAGCACGGAGACTTTCACTGGTTAGCGTAAGGTTTTGCTTTCAGATAAAGGCGCTGTCCCAGCACCGGGAGGCGGTGGGGGGCCCGCAGCCCCCTCTGCCCCGCAGTAAGCAGGGCAGCCATGCGAGGGGCAGTGCCTCCGCCCCGCGGGGTGCGCCCAGCCCGGGGAGAGGTGGGGTGCGCTGAGCCTGGAAGCCTTGGGATGGGCTTTGAGGAAGCCGCTCGCAGCAGGAGCTGCAGGCGCGAGGGTCGGTGTGTCACACCCCCTGCCCCTCCTGGCTTCCATAAGCTGTCTGCAGAGCGACTGAAAGTGCTGCTGAGAAGACGTGGGATACAAATCAAACATTCGTGTGCAGGATAACTGTTCTGGTATTTGTTCCTTTGCGTTTCTACCAGGAACGGAGGTTACCAGGCAAGCTCTGCGCTCCTGCTCCAGCGTGTCTGACGAGCCAGGAGCCCCGACGCAGAAGTCAGGCCCTGCCCTGGCGCGGGGCTGTACCACCGCAGCCCGTTCTGTGAGCTGCCGTTAGTCCTTGTTCCACCTGAGCTGGAGCTCTTCCCGGCCATCCTGCTCCTCGGGCACAGGTCCTGCAGTGCTGCTGTCTAAATTGATGACATGGAAAAGAGTCAGCAGCAGGGCCAGCAGTGCCTCCCCGTCTGCCCCGTCCTGCCCACCGAACAGCCGCCCTGGATTCCTAGCGCCCGCCAACCGCGCCGGGCTGTGACTGTGACAGAGGAGCACAGCTTGCGCCGTGACGGTGTGCAGAGGTGCTGCTGGTCATAAATCCAGGTCTGCGGGTATCTGCCTCCAGCTGAGAAACGCTGTTCCTCCCAGCATGCGAAGGAAATCTCTTCACAAATGATGCACACCGTAAACACGGTGCGTGTCCCTGTGTGCGAGGTGCAACCCTATTGCAAAGTGTTCCCGCCGTGCCCTGGCAGATGCAGAATCTGAGCTTTGAAAGGCCTATTCTTTCCATCTCTTAGAGAAGATTTCAGTCTGCAGAGCAAAAGCATGCCCGTCACAGTAAATAATAATTGAGGCGTTTTTTTCCCAGTGCACTGGGTTGAGTTTCACTTGGGAGCAAAGGCAGAGCACCGGCACTATCCTGCCTGTGCCGGGCCGGCTCCTGGCTCAGCGCCTCGGCCCTACTCCCTGTGCAGGAGTTGCCGCAGCCTCTGGCTGGGAGGGGCCGTGCTTCCCCTGTGCTGGTTTTGTCCTGTAATTTTATCAGCTTTTCCAAAGCAAGTACCGTGCTCTGGGTACCAATTTCCCCGTGATCACGGTAAAGGTGCGCCAGTGCCGCAGGAAGCGATGCCAGGTGCTGGCGCAACCAGCGCTGCCCGCTGCCGGCACCTGCTGCTGCGCCGAGCGCTCAGGACCGGTTCGAGCACTGAGGACCGGTTTAAGCGCTCAGGACCGGTTCCTAGCCGGCGTGGCCCCGCGGGGCGTCCTGCCCTGCCTTCAGCCCGGCACGCCGACCGCCCTCACACGTGTCTTCCAGCAAAACCTCAGGTGAAAGCATCCCCCCCGTCGCACACGCAGGTAACCTGTGGGCGGTGGCGGTAGCCTGTGCTGATGCAGACTTAGAGCGGGATTGCTGCGTTCAAACTGCACGTCCGTGTCCCGTGCAATGGACGAGGGCCCTTTGCAGGCAGGGAAACCTCCAGCCCCGACGCCTCAGGACTGTCCGCAGAGAGGGGACTCACCCAGGTGCCAGGGCGTGGGAGAGAATGACTAGAGGGGTCTAATAATAATAATAATAATGACTAATAAGGGGTCGGACGGTGGAAGAGGCCATCGGTTAATGTCCGCTGGAAGAGGCAGGCTGGGATCACACTCTGAAGCAAGGAGGGACAAGGACTTTTATAGGCGAGGATCCAGGCTTAACCGCACAGGCTGACTGAGATCTGAGGTGGTGAATGAGCTGCTCTGCTGAGGAAGACCCCCCAAGATGTAAAAAAAAAAAAAGAAATATTTAATTTTTATTTTTTTTTTAAA